GTATTCAAATGTCACGCTAATTAGTTGTCTCATGTTGTATGCATAAAAATCAATGTCTCCAGACATCATTCCTTCACTCCATTTATTTCGTCCTTTCTCGCTTTATTTTTGAAGTCGAAGTAAAAAAGTCTATGTCAATCTTCCTAATAAACCGCTTACACGAATATGCCACAATCATGATACATATGCAGATAATGTATAAAAGACTGTCAGGTTTTTCTGGCTGGACGCCGCAGCTCCTCCAACCATTCTAAACAACTTATGGATCAATTTCAAGTAAAGCGAGTGTTTATTGCGAACTAATTTTGGTAGCTGCGTTTTCGTGTAGATCCGCATTGGTTTGCCATCGCGATTTTAAATTGCACTTTTGTAAGCTTTAAAGTTTAGGGGGATCCACTCAAATCCAGAGTTCTTAAAACTTCTTTCTTCTTTAAACGTCCTTTCATTATAATAAATCGCGAAGAACTGCAGGCATTTAGTACGTGCCCAATGTTGGCTTAGAATGTAGTCCAGCGGTTAAATATTGTGACTAATCATGATAAACACTGCAGTACATAAATGTTTCATTAAATATGGACGCATATTTCTTTAAACTCGATCTAGTTTGAAAAAAAAGTTTGTAAAAAATCATGTGAACCAGAACAGGTTTCTAAATGAATTCAAATGCATGAACGGATTTTTGAAATGGATTTTGTTTAAATCATTTTCCAGTCTATGGTTGGCAATTCAACATTATAAATGCCAATGTCGTTCATTTACTTTTTACGTTCTTCGCTTCTGTGTCATAAGGAGACCATTTCTTGCTTGTCATTACTTATAATTGTCTCATATCAGACCAGACCAGATTAGAGTCTAATGTGGTCTAGTCACTAGACCAAACATTCAAAAACTTGTGGATTTTTTGTGCACTTAAATATCTCTGTTCATTACCAATTTAATTATCTGTTGCTTAAAATTATTGAATGAGAAAATGTAATGCCCATAGAATTAGCTACTGTTAGTTTTGAAATTTCAATCGGCATGAAGAGGCAAAATTGTATAATTTAAGTCAAATAATCTGGAGCTCAATGACAAGAAATAGGTAAATCCCGAAATCCCTCTGCAAGGATAAATTGTCGGATTTTAATCCTGGAATTACTTTTGGAGATTCTAAAATAATTTGAACCTTCTAAATCTAATACAATTACCTTCCTAGCTGCAAGATGTGTGACCAGATCTCGGAGATGCGACACTGTTGAGTCTAAGATACCTTAGCTGTCTTTAAATAAATCGTAATTAAAGCTCAATGTCGAGAAGACTTTTGTGTATATCTTAATTTCTTTGATCATATCTTCCAATGTGTTTGAACCTACATTAATTTGCTGTGAATTGGCTTTCAAGATCTCCTGAGCCATGGTGTCATCTTAGAGTTGGCGATTGACACGCGACTTTTCATTGAAATAAACTCTGTTAGCCAAAACAACTAACATAAGCTATTGGCCAATGTACAGACAGGCTGGTAGCAGGCCGGATGGGATGCTGTTGGCGAATTGTTATTGGGACGTCCAGATTATTCTCTTCAACGGTGACAATCCTAGTAGTTGCAGGCAAAAGTTGTCTATGCTTTTTACTTGGTGGATTCGGACAGCCCCGTCAGCCATGCATGTCCAGCTAATTCATTGACACATATTTGCTTAACTCGACGTAGCGAATGTATGTAAGAAAACTAAAAATATCTTAAACAATCAGAAAGCAGGAGAAAAGGTTGCAGTATGGATCACATCGCTCGACTTCATCCATAAATATCATTTCGTTATGGCGTAGGTCACCTCTACAGCCAAAGGAAACTGAATTGTGTGATGTGGGGCAAAGAATTAAATTCAACGAAGCTGAATTTCCTTTGGGCTCATGAGTCTGGAATAAATTGAAAAAAATAAAAGATTTAGCAGCGTTACTTAGTTGCTAATCTTACTCAAAGCGGTGGAAAATTCCACCTAAGTCTTGGCCAGTGAGACTAACTGGCCTTAGATTCAACTGTAAGATTTTTTGTTCTTGGAAGAGTAAATTCAGCTAGTCTTGATGACATTTTGAAACTGGAACTATAACACCCTAACCAAAATTTGGATTAAATCGAAATGTATGCATTCAGGAAAAAGGCTATGAGATGAAGGTATGCAAAAAGACTGATTCAGATAGAGAGCAAAAGATAAAGTTGCTCCATTTGTCTGTGAATCATTGGATTTACATATAAAATTAATTGTTTAGTGTCAAAACTAGTAAACGCGTGTAGGAATTATCCGGTGTCTAAGAAATTATAAATCATTGCCACGTAAACATGGTACAAAATAATTTCAGGCAGACATTGCTTCAAATACCAATCACAACTTTGTTTCCGCCCGAATTAACACATGCCCGAGTCCACATACAAAAGCATAAAACCTGCAAAAGTCTACGATTTTACCTCCGTTTTAATATATGTAGATCCTGTAATAAAAAACGTGCAAGAAAAATAATTGAAACTACTTAAGATCTAGTTCATAATAAGACTACAAGTTTATCGTAGACGTAGCCTTAAACCAACCATTTTATATTGTGGAAATGATTCCTCCGATTTCTTATTCCGAACATCCAGACCTGCCTTTCCTGCTATGAAACAACTTTTCTGCTATCAGTGTTCCTTAATAATAACGGTTCCACCGTTGCAATAACTCATCCTATAAAAATCGTACCGAACAAGCAGTTAGTTCAAGTATTTACATTAAATCCCAATGTTCTTTGTAATGAATAACTAGGGATTAAAATCCAACGATAATTAATTTTGCACATATCATGTGCGCCAGAAACAAAAATAAGTGCCTATTCTGTATTGGTTGTAATTTCTTAAATTATTTACTGTCCGTAATGTGAATCCCTTCCGAAATAAAATGAGATGTACCTGCATCCATCGGAGATTTCGGGGTTAGAATAGACAGTCTACACGAAAGGTTCGAAATGAAAATTAAACCCTAGCATTTCTGTGCTGCAAGTTAAATAGCATTTTGAAAGCATGAGCAACAAACATTTTTTTGTAACAAACACCAAACCCCACAAAATTATTTTTCCAACCTCGCCAACAAGACGGAACTCCTTGCTTAACATTTTTGTAAATATGGTATTCAGTGTTCATTTTCAAAAAGTTTTGATCAACTAAACTTGTGGTTGCAAGTGGATCTGGTCCTGTGTACAAAACCAAGACTTTCTACATCTTTCATCTGGTGGGTAGGTTGGCTCAATTTTTAGATTTTCTGGAAGCTAGGTAAATAGCAATTGTTTGCACGTAAGAAGAAATTTTCTTATGTATGTACATAAATACGTCATTCTGGTTTTGGGGACATTTCTTTTCACTTGTGATAGACGCGCAAAAATGTCTTAGATATCACGGGCAAGCTTTCTCTAGTGAGGTAACTCAAGGGAAGAATATTCATTGTCGTGAAAGGATAACTTCAACATTTTTGTTTTACTACTTTCTAGTCTTCTCTGAAAATATTTCGGAGCCGATTAAACACATGAGTTACTCGTCTGCTTTTCGTTTTTAGTCAGAAATTTTTCGAACTAACGAATTAGAGTGGACATCAAATTTTGCAGGTAGGAAATTCGGGTGATCATCGCGATCATCTGTGGTACTGACTGATCGCGTCAGGCATTGTGATGAGTTAGAATATTTGTAAGCATTGGCACAGTTTTTTTTCTTATGAAATTTCATGTCACCACTCTTTTTGAATTTCTTAACTTTTTATTTATTTATTCTATAGTATATTTTGACAAAATTACATAATTATTGACTACATCTAATTAGTAATCATAGCAATTGTACCGCACCAACACTAAATAATAATTTGGGGATAAGTATTATTCAAATGTGTACTTATGTAGGCACATGTTTACTAATAATTTATTCTGAACATTCTTACAAGGCTCCAGGCTCACAGAATCACAAGTTATTTTTGTATGCGAATACATGTACATATATTGCATACATGTATTGCATAAATGTCCAGTAGGCCTTGCAAATCACAAAATGAATAGGTTGACTAACAATTTAACTTAAATAAAAAATTTCCACCTTCCATATAATTATCGCACGGTGCATTTTATTCGCAAGACCTTTGAAAGCAAATTTCCAACAAAGTTACACAATCATAGAATTTCTATGATTGTGTTAATTAGTGATCAAATTTGTGCGTTCATAACATTAATAATTTATCGTGCATTAATTAATTTATATTACAAATATGTTTATTCGAAATACTCATTGTTCACCTGTACTGTATACTTCAGGCCGTAACTGCATCATGTATTGATAATGTTTGACATAATCTATGTACGAATCACGATGAGAAGTTTAGAATTATGTATTTAGCACTCCTCACTGTTTAATATAAATATTAGCTATTCAATAGATAATTTTTAAGCCAACTTTGTCCGATGGGTGATTATGTAATTAAAATATTAATTAAATAAAGACCTGTTACGGTGAGTAAACAAATTTGAGTAAAATTTATTCACAAGCTGAGAGATACGGTGCAAAGTACAGGGTAGCTTAAATGTCACGTTACGATGGAAAATTTTTAAATAGGAAAAATTCGCAAATCTCCATTGGTTACAGAAATTTGTCCTCTGAAATTCAATATTTTAAGAATTTTGCCACCAGTGTTCAATAAATTTTGATAAAAATTAATAAAAATCTCAATCCCAAATCCGTAACTAATGGAAAATTTACGAATTTTTCCCATTGAAAAATTTTCCATTGTAACATGACATTTAAGCCACCCGGTACATACAAATGGATTACATAAATAGTATGTACATATATGGAAGGGGTGGTTGGGTTGTTAAAAATCGACATTTGTACACAATGTGTTTTACCGTATGCATTTGTATAAACAGTAGAGCACAGTCTCGAATTTTGGGTATTTCTTCAAAATTAGCGATATTTAGAATTTCGCGCATTTCCTAAAAAAACAAAATTCAAAAACTGCATACTTATGTAAATATGTATATTTATTCACAACTTCAATTTCTAGCTTAAAAACATTAACTGATTATAAATTTGATCATTATTTTACAATGGCAAAGATAAGATCTGTTCTCGCTTAGCGAATACAATACGCCCGATCATTCGCCTTGCAATATCCGTTGCTTTTGTAGCCAAGGTTCTTGCAGCATTTTCGAACTGCTTCGTTATGAAGGTTCCCAGGTTTTTGGCAAGCTTCGTCACAAAGGTAGACGAAGTCGGCTAGATGAAGAAAAACAATAAAACGATCAGTCTTTGATTTCTTGCACATTTTCCACATTTCTTGCACTGGCAACGAACTAAAAGGTTTGATAATTATGTAACTAAGTTACGTACTTGGTTTTAATCCGTCTTGACTAATTGCAGTCGCTAAGGTGAGTGTTGCCACTAGAAAAATGACAACTTTAAAAGTTCCCCCCATTTCAGCTCTAAATATTTAGATTTCAATAAAATCAATGTACAATGCCCAACTTTTAAGTCTGTAATTGTGCTTGGTACATTGTACGAAAGAGATGTGATCTTTCGCCATTGTCAGCCCCGACTTTTATACATACGTATACATGATAAGACGAATGGGTACTTTTTATGCACATGTAAACATGCACACACAGAAATGTACATAGCTAGACGTATATTTTTCCAAGAAATCGGGCCAGGTTTAGTTATTGCTTAAGCACACAGAAGTATTTCGCAGTGGTTTGATAAACACACTACATATTTGCTTATAGCATAGCATGATGTCAAACACCGTGTGCAATGTAAATACACGCAATTAGTGTAATACAAACAAAAGGAATGAGACATGACGCAAAAAAACGAAGTAGTTTACACGTGTACACTAAGATGTATGCAGGCTGAAAGAACTTTGCTAAACCCGTTTAGCTTCATATTTCTTGGAAAATAATTACGTTGCGAAACGTAAGTATGTATGCCCAATGTTGGGACTCGCCTTCGCATGCAGAGATCGTAATAAAAACCTCAACTTAAAAAAGTTGCATGTTTTTCTACAATTAGTTACAAAAAATGTGTTCGCAAAAAATTGTGGATCACAAAACGTTTTGCTATAATGCGATAGGATTTTTTTTCCTTCTAAATTGCGATATTTGCCATGATACTTTTTCTCAAAGGTGTGAATATATTTACGGCAGGAAATATATGACGGGACATGAGTACTATCATTATACAAACTACATAAATATGCTTATGTAACTGTAATTTGGAGTCATAGGGGTTACAAAATTACAATTACAAGGAAATTGATACGTGTTTGGTTGGTTTAATTAATTTGTTTAGAATTTTTTGTTCAATAAGGGAGGATAGCCTAGTATCAAAATTTGTAACCATGGAAATAGACGCACCAAATTTACATGTCTTACGCCTCGCGTAGTGTCAACGTAAAAACATGCAACTTTACCTGCACATACAAGTAGAGTATTAGTTCCATAAATATTTACACGAGTCTGTAGCGAAATCGCATTTCGTATTAACGAAATTTAATGAGCACATGATCAACCTGGAGAAAGTCAATTGACCACATTTCTCGTGGTGGGACACCTCTACTTACGTACCTATTTATTATCTACATAAATATGTACATATAGAGTTAGTACATACATATATTCAATTTTATGTTGGTGGTAGCATCGGTTGTTACTTCTCAAGGTGTGCGTAATAAATTCATCCTCCGCGTTACGCCAAGTGATGTAAGCGAAGCTAAAAAGGTGCGAATTGTAACACCAGCATGTAATTCTAATTCTGAAATTAGATGTCAAATCTTATACAATTATTCACTGACAGACTTCATCACCTTCGCCTTAACATTTACAATTTACAAAACTTTCTTCCAAAAACTTCACCAAAATTTCCTTGCGCCCAATTTACAAAGGTCCCCAACTCAAACTTAATCTTGCGTAACACTTGTCGTATAACAGTCATCATTCCCAGATATCCTTCCCCTCTTATCCATTCATACAAAAGGGTTAAACAACAAATTCCACTAGAAACATAACAAATTAGAAAAATCGTGACAAAATCTCTCCCAAGTGTTTGTTTTTGAAACCCATCCGACACTTTTTCCTTCCGTAGCTCATAAATGGCTTGAGAGGGATTACAGAGGCCCACCACAAGAGAGTTTTCCCAGAACCGACAGCGAAACAGCAATTGCTATTCTTGGGGGGTCATGCATGCAATCTTGTTCAAAAAGTGAAATTATTTTTGTAAAATCACTCAAGGGGAGAGAAACAACTGCCAATTGAAAAAAAGTTTTTAAAATCAATTTTTTCGCCGCTAAAGTTCAAAACAGGGGAAGTAAATGTGTTTTTTGTGGTAAAACCATAATTTTATGTGGCGAAAAGCATTGACATGTATTCCCCCTAATTATTTATACATTTTTGATGTGTAAGTCAAAATTTTGTAATATTTTGAAATTAGTGGTTGACCCTTCTCATAAGCCGGATTGAATAAGTTATGCATGGTGCGGATGAGTTAGAAACCTCCAGACCATAGAGTGAAGGAGGCCGCGAGTTTCTCATCATCTCGGCCTCGACCGCACCGTGCATAACTTACTCAATCCGGCTTATGAGAAGGGTCAACAACTAATTTTAAAATATTACAAAATTTTTACTTACACATCAAAAATGTATAAATAATTAGGGGGAATACTGGTCAATGCTTTTCGCCACATAAAATTATGGTTTTACCACAAAAAACAATTTTCCTTACCCTTTTTTGAACTTTAGCGGCGAAAAAGTTGATTTTAAAAGACTTTTTTTCAATTGGCAGTTGTTTCTCTCCCCTTGAGTGATTTTATAAAAATACTTCCACTTTTTGATCAAGATTGCATGCATGACCCCCCAAGAATAGCAATTGCTGTTTCGCTGTCGGTTCTGGGAAAACTCTCTTGTGGTGGGCCTCTGTACTTCGTAGCAAAACCTTTCGCAAATTTCGGCCCACCTCGCAAAAATTCCGCTACTCCACATTATCTGTAATCTGGGTGTCATCCACTTCCTCAGAACGGATAAACCCTTAAAGATCTTAAAGTAGTTTTGCTCCCCAAACTGGCGTCCTTTAGTATATGTCTGACTGTCGGATATGTCGTTGAGTATGGGAAGTAGGGCGGATATTCGGTTCGAAAAATCGAACAGGGCGGAGCGATTGCACGTTGACAAATTTTCTAACAAACCGGCTGCATCGTTGTAGTTGCCGAGTTTTTGAAGAGCAATCAGTTCATCGAATGAGTCCCAGACATGTTTGCAGAGCCCTGAGGAAATTCACAAATAAAAATTAGATTGTTTTGCCTCCATAATGATTCGCGGCGCTGAGGACTGACTCTATGAACATGCATTTAAAGCGTGTAAAATGAAAGGTACCCTCCTAATAATAACGAAATCATTATTAATATGTATCATAACAGACACGTACACTCCAAGGATAAGTAAAAGTTAGTAAAATTTGCTCAGGGTTAAGTAAAAAAAAAAATCTGATGACACAACCAAAAGGTAAAATTTGTCCATCCCCACTCAGCCTTATGTAGGTAAATTTAGCAGAACGTTTATTTAGAGTGTTGGTTTAGTTAACACAGAAACAAATACATATTTACCGGCATGTTCCTCCTGTCTTATTGTTGGAGTACAGACCCCGCCAAGTTTCTCATACTCTTTAATCCATCGTTTATGCCATTCGACGTACCAGTATTGAGACAAGCCTGTACCAATAAGCATTTCAACGGGGGTGTGCTTTTTGAAATACTCTTTGTTATCTTCCGGAATTACAATCTAAATACGTGACAAGTTCATTCATTATAAAATATAGATATATTTGGAGTACACATACATATTTACTGTGATTCACGCGGATTGAAATTTTAGAGAGGACATTACATATGTACCACCGAAAAATTATTAACTTAAAAGTTAATAATTTTGCTATTTTATTTTTATGATAATTAAAATTATCATAAAAATAAAATAGTATAATTAAGCCTTTACCCTTGTAAATTTTGCAGCCTCAATTTCTTCAAAAGTATTCCACTTGGGAACGGCGGCGGGTGGAGCGATGACACTGGTGATTACGGTGCCGATGAAGGCGTTGCTTAAAATAATGCAACTAAACAACCAGAGGAACAGAATGAGTTGGGCTTTATGCCAATCTTTCTTATCGCAGAGAAAATTTAGTCGGTTCGCAGCCACACCGACGGAAATGAGGGGAGGGATGATTACGAACATTATCGCGGGTAATTTGACTCGTAACATGTCTCCATTCTTGACGCGCCCTTGATGCGTTATGACCATGAAAAACAATGCTACCCCACCCGCCGTTAGAAGTATGATCAACCAGCTGCGCAAAGTGTGGGGCTATACAAATTAAAGCAAATTGTTCAATTAGTTTGTAAAATTCATATATTGTATTTACAAATTAAGACTGTATAACTCTAATGAAATTGACCAAACTGATTTAAAATTGTCATCAGGCAAGAATATGCACATACACGACTCTACCGACACGGGAATAATGAGCATTACTTATTGTATTGTTGTCTGTTATGAAAAATTTACCACTTACAAGGGAACATACCGAGGTGTCCAACGAGTTAAGGGTCGACACCTATACCAAAATGACTACAATACAAGACTTATTAAACAAACTGAAGGAATTTCCGTGTAGAATTCACTTTTCGTCACGTTGTGACGATATTTGTGACGAGCGCATGACCATCGGGTTGCCAGCGGGAGAGGTCGGCCACTGAACGATCAGGTCGACCACAGAGAAGCGTCGTCGTCTCCATGTCGTCTTCAAGGATTTCAAATTTTCAAATTTTGAAACCATTTTGAAATTTTGAAGCAATTTTGAAATTTCGTAAAAATTTTGAAATTTTAAACAAATTTTGAAATTTTAAACCAATTGAAAAAAATTAGAGGTGTGTATGTCATTTGAAATTTGAAATCCCTGAAGACAAGATGTGTTCGATCTGATCGTTCTGCGGCCGACCTATCCTGCTGGCAACCCGATAGTCATGCGCTCGTCACAAATATCGTCGCAACGTGACGAAAAGTGAATTTAACACGGAAATTCCTTTAATTTGTTTAATAAGTCATGTACTGTGGTCATTTTGGTATAGGTGTCAACCCTTAACTCGTTGGACACCTCGGTATGTTCCCTTATTAGAAACAAACTGGTACTTAATAAATTCCAGGCCAGAAAATGTTTGCACGTATATAGCTACCAGATTTTCAGCAGTGAATTTGCTGCCATAATTTATTATGTTCACGGGCGCAAAAATATAAGAAACTAGCTAAATTTTCCCGACATTTCCTATTATTTATTTAGTGTAGCGCAAAAGGGTGATTCGCTCTTACTTGGTCCACCTTGAATTGCTTGAATTTTGTGCAGAAATATCTACCGGGTGACAGAAATAAAACATAGTGGAACACATTTGCATACATATGTACACACCTTCAAGTATGCAGAATAAGCATACCCCTGTGACACACCGTCACACGTGATAAAGCTCCAACTCCTCTTGTCGCTGCCAGGCCATAAACCCTGCCCTTCCCCAGGATACGGAGAATCAAGTTGAATTAGAATCTTTACATGAATTTTCCCAGGGGTGGTGTTAAGCACCAAACAGTAGCAATTGACACGCTCCCTGTAAGGTTGTAGCGCTTCAAAAGCTATAATCTCCGGGAGC